CAGGTAGTTTCCATTGCTCACCCACTTCTGGAGGTGAAAGACCAGCAAGACAAACATCAAAACAACTACATCATGAGATCCTCCCCATATGGGACCAATCTCAACTGCCATACCTTCCACAGAGCATACCTCGTCAGGGCAGGCCAAGAGACAGGTGCAGCCATTATTTGTAAAAGAGCAGGCCAGCAGGCAGATAGTTGTTAAGGAGTTCTCTCTGTGGCAGGTATGGTTCTGGACACTGTCTCATATAGTTCATTCTAAGATCTGCTAATAAAGAGTAAATGGAAGTTCAAAGTGGTGAGATGATTTGCTCAAGGTTACACCATCCGTAGAAGGCTGAGCCTAAATGTGAATCCAAAACCTCCAGCAACAGGTCTCATACTGTGTTCTGCTCTATCTACTGACTGATGGATGCCACATTTTGAGGCCTTCGTAAGCCTGGGGCAATATAAATCATGATGGAAAGAAATTTCTTTCTTGTTTTCAAAATCACTTTACAAAGAATACAGGTGTGCTCTGCAAAGAGAGAAAATTACATTTAGACACTTTATTACAAATTTCAGCTGTAGAGAACCTATTAGTTATCTGATGGCTGAAATTCTGGCAATCTCCTATTATACCATTTCCTGTTGAGTGGGGCAGTTATACACACAGTGCTAGCTCACTGGTCTTCTTTGAACCACTACCTCTGCTGAACACCAAATCTCTGGGCAATTACTTGGTTCTTTTTCAAGACAACAAGTCCCCCAAATGCTAGGAGATAAGATCTCAAAACCCAAGAAGCATTAAGGGTAGAGGGAGCAAGGAAGGGAGCCAACAGATTGGAGACCCTGCTCATTGCCAGACATTGTCAGGTGACTTACATATACTGACTACTCAGTACTTACAACAACCTTCATAGGTAGGTAACCCCATTTTACAGGGACAAAACCTAGCCCTTGGAGAGTTAAGTAAGTCACTTGGCCAAAGGTACACCCGTCGTAGACAAGTATGGACTTGGGTGGCACCTTGGAAAGTTGACAAATACATGAGAAGTTTTCAATCTTGTGTTACTTTGGTTTGCTTCAGGTACTATAGCAATACAAAAAAAAAAAAAAAAAAAAGAATTACATTAATTTAAAATTATTCTTGTGTTATTAGCACAGTCATCCCTTTAAAAAAAGTTGTATGTAGCTTACTATATATTTAGGAAGCAACTTACGCATATGCTGGGGCTGTTTCAGAGGTGCCTGAGTCATCCCCACAGAAGCCCCTTCAGATATTCTATGAGGATCAAACAATGTACTGCTATGACCACAGACTTCAGCTGGACCTTTGTTACCTGGAAACTCGCTATTTTCTCTAACCGGCCCCCCACTATCTGTAATGAGAACTTCAAACACCTGTGCTCTTCCAGCCTCCGAGTCTCTCGCCTCAGAGGAACAGGGTGTCTTCTCGGTCACACAGGGAAGCAGGGCGCGTGAACCTCTCAACCTCGTCACTGAATGACACGCTAATGCTATCTTCTGCCCTCCCCCCATCCCAGATTATGGCGGAGATCTCTTCCTCCTCCCAGATAAGGCCAAGGGAACATTTTAGCTTCAGGATCCTTCTCCAACAAACCTTATGGTGCCTAGTTATTATTTTGTTCTCTCAATATGAAAACATGCAGATGTGTCTACACTAGAAAACTAACTAAAACAAAATCCCTCCCTTGACTGCATATTCCATTGTCACCTTCACAGGCAAATATCTCAGAGTTGTCTATAATAGTCTCCATTCTCTGCTTACATTAACTTTTTGTTTCATTTTAATGTGGCTCTGTTTTCATTATTCATTAAAATGGTTCTTGTCAATGTCATCAAAGACCTCCAAGGTGAAAAGGGCATTTCCAGTGTCAACAGACTCAGCTTGCATACAGCATCCACCAGTATGCTTCAGCCACCATAGTCCCCTGCTTTCCCCAGACTTCTCTGGACCCTCTGTTTAGTCACCTTTTCAGGATCCTCCTCCTCTAGCTGATCTTTTAAATCACAGCTCAAAGCCTTCCCTAATATTCCTACATCATTACCCATTAATCACCCTCAGAGTACCCTGGATCCTTACAAAAAAAGGGACTAAACAGTCACAATTTTGTCTATAAATTGCTGTATCTCAATATTGTTTAACTCAGAGTAGTTATTTCACAACTCCTCCACTATGCTGTACCCTCCCTGAAGAAAAGAACTGGGGTCTATCTGTCCTTCACTGTGTGCCTGGCACTTAAATGTTTGTTCAACAGGTAAACGGAAAAGATTCTGTCTCACAATGGTATCTAATTAGACCAATCAGATTTTGTCCTTCAGGAGCTGAAAGAGGGAAGTCCAGACCAATGCAGTCTGGTGAAAATATGAAGGAAAACCAGGAGGTATAAGGAGAGGCTGCGGCCTGAGCAAGTAGCTGTGTGGTGCTAATGCAGGGCTCAGAGTCTCAGGCTGCAGGGGCCCATCGTCTCCAGACTCTATGGCTGCCTGAGGATTCAACAAGGGCTACCCCTGGGTTCTAGAAAGTTCCTGCTTCTCTCAGTACTGCCCATGTCCTTTACTCGAGGTACCTTGAGTGCCATAACTGTCTTGTAGCTAACTAGGAGTCGAAATAATATAGGAGCTCTTCATGGGGGTAAAAAAAAACAAACAAAAAACACACAGAAGAAGCAGTTTTGGTTTTTTTTGTGAATAAGTTGAAAAGCCCAAAGTAGGAGAAATGAAAACATAAGGCGCCTTACATAATTTCCCCCCAAAACGTGAAAATCTCTTTTGAGGAGATTAGTTGTGTTCTGGAATGATTCCCAAGAACTGTGCCAAAAGCAGCAAACTTTCCTTTACAGAACTTAATAAGGATTAACTCTCACTAAAGACCACCAGACTTTTGTTTCACGATTTAAAAAAGTATTAGCTGTGCACACTATATCTCTGACTTTGAAAAATAATCTATGTTTTTTTGCTTTCTAAAAAGTTTCATATATGGAGAAATATGTCTATAATATAATTTAAGCTACTTCATTTTCTTTTCAAATTATAACTTAAGTAGGGATTTACAAGACATTAAAAGTTAAATGTGAAAACTACATTTGAAGACTAATATATGATGTCAAACATAGTCAGATCCCCGAAAGCAAAAATTTCCAGTGCCTCATACTTATGAGTAGATTATTAAATAGAAAAAATTACCCCAGAACTTTCCAATTTTAAATTGATTAGTACCAATTTCTTTACTAAATCTTTTCATGGTAGTTTTGGATGAAGATCATAATCTTTGCCTTCTGGACAAAATGATGACTGAGATGAACCACTCAGCAAGACCAAGTTGCTACCTCATTTTAAATGGCAAGAGAACATGTCATTTTATAGGTTGTGTAGCATAAAGAGGCTCTTTCAAGATCTTTTCTATGTTAGATTTTTAGAGTTTTCATTAATTTTGAAGAAAACTATATAAGAAGAATTCAACATGAAGCAGTTACATCAGCCAGCAGCGGACAGATTAGTTTGGTTTTTCTTAGAGAGACAGCAGAGTGTGGTGGAAAACATACCACTTAGAGTTAGACAGACTTAGGTTTGAATACTATCTCTGCCAATTACCAGCCAGCAATGAAAAGTTATTAACATCTCTGGACCTGGTGTCTTCCAAATGTTGGCTGATGGTGTGGTATTGAGTAAAACAAATTGTTTCTCAATGATGACTAATATATAACAGACATTCACGATTACACTCATTAGTTGCAATGAATCATTTGGTGAATATTTGGATATTATAAAAATGAAGGTCAAAATACATTTCTTTAAAAGTTAGAGTCTGCATTTTCTTTTCTATCACTTCAAAGGAAGAATAAAAAGTAATGCATTTGATAAAGGGCATAATAATATGGACTATAAAAGTCCATGAATTGGTGGGAAATATAAGTACTATGTGACCTTACCAAATAATGCAATAACTTTCAATTAGTTCAGAGGAGATTTTTGTCACAGAAAGAAGAGGACAAATCCTATGTATTGAAAATTATATCAAAACAACCCCTAAATATAAACACTGATTTTACCAATGCTCCCCAGAAAGGCATGAGCAACCTGTGGTTGGGATAAAAGCCCTCCTGCCTCCTCTATCTATGCCTGCTATTTCTGTGTACAGTGAAACACAGTTCACTAAAGCCCTGCTTAGCAAACATAAGCATGAGCTGAGCACATCAGAAAACCTGCTGATTTCTTTCCTGCCCAACACCTGTTGGTTTTCATTGGCCAGATTTGTACTTAGGATCCCCATTCAAAAATCAATGCAAGCTCATAAAACTTGTAACAAATATCCTTCATATCTAAAGGAAAAGTATGGTCAAAAAGATTAATTAATATAAATATATTTGCAGTTATATTCCCAGGACACAGTGAGTTTCTCTTCTTATTTATTAAATGAGAAAAGTAAAGAAATGAATGAAGTGAACTAAGATTCCATTTAACAATACATTAATTAGGGCAGGCAATTTATGGAGAGGAATGTGTCTGGAATGGAAGACCTCACATGACAGTGCCTGGGGACTAAGATGGGAAAATACAGGAATTAATGGGGCCATGGCACAAAGACATTATGCATTAGGATTTAGACCACCTAGTTCATTGGAGTTGCATGATATATATATATTATATACATATATATACATACTATATATGTATATAATATTACATATTATATACATATATAGTATATATAGTAGTATACACACACACACGAAAAGATAAGAGTTTGAATGGAGTACAGGAGCCACAAAATATCTATATTTCACTTTGAGATTCAAATCAATGAACATAGTTTTCTGGCTGAGGCACACAACAAAAGAGCTTTATGTCCTGCTGAAAGCTTGATAAAGGAGTGCACACTATAAGCCCCACAGGAGAGAGAGATTTTGCTCCATTTGCCAATGGAACAAAGGTGTTTTTTGTGTTTTTTTTAAAGGCCAAGAGCCCTTTTGCTGTGTTTGTATGAAGTTCACTCACAGTGTGGTTCATAAGGAGGAGGAGGGTCTCCACAAGGTACACACTCCATGTCTTGAAAACCAACAAGTTTTGTCTTCCTATAAAACCTAGAGAAAAAAGAAAAATAATCCTTGTTAGCTCTTTTATCTAAGCTTACAGTTGCAGTGAACAGATTACATAAATTACTGGCACTCTCCATTACCAATTCTATTGTTTAAAAAAAAGTTCTCAAAGTCTTAAATGTAGTACTATCTTAGACAGACATCCTTAAAAAGACCTCTGAATGTGCAGTGAATACTTAAGAAAGGCCAACTCCACTAAACATAACTTTGTAGATTTTATTTAGTCTCACATTTTCTATATTGGGGGAGTGGGTGCTGGTAAGGGAATATGAAATCAATTTAAATGATAAAATGCCTCATAAATAAAGTGCTAGTTTTTAATATTTGAAAATCAAAGACCAAAGAATCCAGCAAACCATAAAAGCAATAAAAAAATGTAGTGAGGTGCTTATATAATTTTGATATGGGGATATCTTTCTAGGCATGACAAGATTAATTAATATTAATATAAATGGAAAATGACCCAGGAGCCAAGAAGAAAGAAATTAACAGCTTTAATCTTTGAAAACACACACACACACACACACACACACACACACACAATATTAAAGATAACTAAAGAGCTAAACAAAGTATCATTAACCTAGTTAATGGGCAAAAGAAAATTGAAAAATAGTTCTGATCACAGCATTTTCTATAACTTAAGTTTGTAATATTAAACTTAAAAGTCATTAAGGTGAAATGAAAAAGCAGGCAAAGAACATTAATTCCCAAAAGAATACATTTCATAATTTTTAGTTTTAATAATTAAAACTAAAAAAAATGATGCCATTGCTTTTTAAATTTAACACTAAAATATTTAACCTCACTATTATTCAAATAACTATTTCATAACTATTACAATGAAAATGCACCATTTTTACTTAGAAAATTTAGAAAGTGTTGGTGTAAAGCTAGGCAAATAGGCACATATATATATTGTCAGTGGGAATAGAAATTGCCACTTGCAAGAGGGCAATTTAGCAATACATCAGAATTCCAATAGTTTATTTATATCCTTTACCCAATAATTTTATTTCATGAAATGTATCCAAAAGAAATAATCAAGTAGGTAAAATTGTATGTATAAGAATGCAATCATAGTATCTATATATATAAAAGCCTAAGCAACCATTTGACTGTCAAACCAGAAACTATGACAAGCACTGACCACTCAACACAAGAACTGCCGAGCTGTGGTGACTTGGAAGCTGTGGTTCTCAGGAGATGCACCCAGAATCAGAAAGGAAGGAGCTCTATTTTAGGGTGAGTCACCTGAGAACCTCCCTCTCACAATCTGTGACCCTCGGGGCATATGGGAGAGCTGGTTTCAACCCAATCTCCACAGGCCAGGATGAGAGACCCCACTGATGCAAGAATCTGTGCACTGGGCTTCTAGTTGTTTATAAAAGAAAAGAAGCCAATTAGGCACAATCCCAATATCCAACATTAGATATGACCAACTACAATGGAACCAAGGTAAAAGAATAAAGGGTGTGCTTCAGAAACAATGATGTAGACAAACCATCATAATTTTTTTAATTCACAAAATATCATTAAGTGAAAAAAGAAGTGTGAATAATATAATTCAATTTTATACAAACACACTTTGGTATAGATTCTTTCAGACTATTTACCAATGCAGCTAATTACATTTATATATATGTATATATTAGCAGTGAAAAAAAATTATATATTGAATATTAACAGTGATTATTTGTTGATGGTGAGAATTCAAGCCATTTTTCTTTCCTATAGAAAACTTTCTACTTTTCTAAGACAAAAACAGAGGTTTAGAGAATAAATTTACAGATCAAGTATATAGAAGACAGGTAGATGCAATTATTTTGTAAAATTGTATAATGTAGTAATAAATCTGTATAATTTATGATTGAAATGAAATTTGCATTTTGAAATTAAGTAAATTACCTCAAATGTCCAATAACTTCCTTATTTGCTCATTATTGCATTTTCATTTGACTATGAATATCTGTCCAAATGTTTGTAATAAATTCTCACCAAATGTTAATTAAATATATTTATTTTGGAATTTATAAAGTCAAAATCAAAGAACAAAGTTGGAAGATTCACACTTCCTGATATAAAAATATTACAAAGTATATTAATCAATGCCATGTGGTACTGGCATAAAGAGAGACATGTAGGCCAAGAACAGAAAAGGGAACCTAAAAATAAACCCCCATGTATATAGTCAAATGACCTTTGACCAAGGAACAAAGACCACTTAATGGGGATAGGACAGTCCCTTCAACAAATAGTGCTGGGAAAACTGGATATCTACATGCAAAATAATAAAGCTGTCTACTTATCTTAGCTCATATACAAAATTAATTCAAAATAAATTAAGTAAAAGATCCCAAAGTATAAAACTCATGGAAGAAAACAGGAGAAAAGCTTAATAATATCGAATTTGGCAATAAATTCTTGGATATAACACCAAAAGTCAATCAAAAGGCACATATGAAACAGGCAGCAAAAATAAAAATGCAAGGGGACTATCTCAAACTTAAAACTTGTGCATAAAATTATACAATCAATGTATACTTATACCCAAACTCATTGACTTGTATACTAGTATACTAAATACCTTAATAAAATGGTTAAAAAGTAAGTCACACTAAAATTAGTTTTAAATTATAATAAAATAATGATTCCCTCTAAGATTAAAAATAAAATATACAATCAACAGTAAAGGGCAACCTACAATATGGGAGAAAATATTTGCAAATCATATTTTAAGCCAATGAGCACTTTTATTTTTTAAAATATATTTTTATTGATTTCAGAGAGGAAGAAAGAGGGAGAGAGAAATAGAAACATCAATGATGAGAAAGAATCATTGATAGGCTGCCTCCTACATGCCCCACACTGGGGATTGAGCCCACAAACCGGACATGTGCCCTGACTGGGAATTGAACCATGACCTCCTGGTTCATAGGTCAACACGCAACCACTGAGCATGCCAGCCAGATTAGATGAACACTTTTAAAACACTCTGGAAAACTTGAGTAAAAGTCACTATGTGATTATTATCTGCCTCATACATTCATGCTAACTTAGAAAAAGATGTAATTTTAGACTAATCTTATAAGTAAACTGAAAAATCATTCAAATATCTACTCATTTCTGACTTTCCTGCATCTACTCGTAAGCACTTAAAGAATGAGCAAACACTGTGGAAACTAAAAGCCATGGGCTGAGATGACAACAGAGGTTAAGCATGGGAAGCACATTTAATGGGAGCACCTGGGGAGACCATACCCTCTCCAACACTGCAGCAACATATCTCCTTCTTTGTGGAAACCTAGTCCTTGTACCCTGTGCTTTCCCCAACTCTCTCTGGGCACTGCCTACCTCAGCCCTCAGCCCTTAAGTCAGGCATATGGTGGGCATTATCTCCTGTGGACCTTCTTCCTGTCCTCCAGAAGAAGACAGCAGACATACACAACATGCTTTTATCAAAATTGTAGAAAGGAATAATAAAGATATTTAGTGTTTGCTCCTCAAATAGATTTGCATAGGTCTAAATTTTGGGTAATGATATTAATAGGTATCAATGTTTCTGAGATTTTAGACCATTACTTTTTAATTGAATAACAGATTTATTGAAATATTTTACAAACCATAAAATCCATGGAGTTAAAACACATAATTAAATGGTCTTAATATATTCATGGATTTGTGTAACCGTCAGATACAATCCATTTTAAAATATTTTCATCATGCCAAAAAAAAAAAAAAAAAACCCTCTGTACCCCACCCCCATTTTCCTGACACACCACCACCACCACAACTATCACCACCAACCCTAGATAACTACTAGCTTATTTTCTGTCTTTATAAATTTGCCTGTTCTGGATATTTCATACAATGGGATCATACAATAGTTGGTCTTTTGTAAGTGGCTTCTTTTGTTTAACATTGTTTTCTAGGTTCATCCATTTTGTGACATGTATCAGTAATTCATTCCTTTTTATTGCTGAGTAAAATTAAAATGTATAAATATACTCCATTTTGCTTATCCATTAATCAGTTGAGGGACATTTGGATTGTTTCCACTTTTGACTATTATGCATAACTAGAGGCCCAGTGCATGAAATTTGTGCATGGGGAAGGGTGCCCCTCAGCCCAGCCTACATCCTCTCCAATCTGGGACCCCTTGAGGGCAGTCAGACATCCCTCTCCAATCCAGGACTGCTGGCTCCCAATTGCTTATCTGCCTGCCTTCCTGATTGCCCCAACAGCTTCTGCCAGCCAGCCTGATCACCCTGTAACCACTCTGCTGCCAACCTTATTGATGCCTAACTGTTCCCCTGCCAGCCTATTTGCTCCTCACTGCCCTCCCCTGCAGGCCTGGTCACCCCTAACTGCCCTCCCCTGAAGGCCTGGATCTCCCCATGACTGCCATTCACTGCAGGCCTGGTCACCCCAACTTCCCTCCCTTGCAGGCCTGGTCCCTCCCAACTACCCTCTCCAGCTGGCCTAATCGCCCACAACTGCCCTCCCTTGTAGGCCTGGTCCCTCCCAACTGCCTTCCCCTGCTGGCTATCTTGTGTCTACATAGGGGCAGGATCTTTGACCACATGGAGGCAGCTATATTGTGTGTTGGAGTGATGGTCAATCTGCATATTACTCTTTTATTAGATAGGATAGAGACCTGGTGCATGGGTGGGGGCCAGCTGATTTGCCCTGAAGGGTGTCCCAGATCAGGTTGGGGGTTTCCTTGGGGCATGGGGCAGCCTGGGCAAGGCACCTGTGGTGGTTTGCAGGCCAGCCATGCTCCTGGTGACCCAAGTGGAGGCCCTGTTATCTGGGATATATTTATCTTCTACAGTTGAAACTTTGAAGCCTGAAGCAGAGCCAACCTTTCTGCTTGCTCCGTGGCAGCAGCCTTTTCTGATTTGATTTGTTTACCTTCTATAATTGAAATTTTTTAGCCTTGAGTGGAGGCCTAGGCTGGCAAGGGTAGGTGGAAAGCTTGGCTT